TTTGAACTCAGGCTGATGAGTCTTCTGGACTCCAGGCCTGCTGCTCTGTGCCCACCTCGCTGCTTGCTTAATAAATGTTTGTTAATTCACTGATCAAAATCATCTTTGGCCTCTGCTTGAAGACCCACCTTACAAGACACTTCATCAGCTGGCTCAGGGAATTTTCTATGTCCCTTGCCTGGAATGGCCTCCCTTCTCCCCTCAGGCTACTGACCTCCCTTTGAGATCCAACTAAAATTCTATCTTCTATGGAAAGATTTCCCCAACCCGTCTTAATTCCAGTGCCTTCCCTAGGTTAATTATCTCCTATTTATCCTATATTTAGCTTGCTTTGTATATATTTGTTTGTATCTTGTCTCCTCCATTAGATTGTAAACTCCTTGAGGGCAAAGACTGTCTTTGGCAGGATGCCTGGCATATAGGTGTTTACTAAATGTTGATTGATTGATTGATTTTAATCTATCTGCACAATAAGAAACTCACCCACAGCTCCTAGTTCTGCCCTCTGGGCCTAAAAAGAGCAAGACCAACCCCTCTTCCACCCAAAAGCCCTTCAAATGCTAGAAGACAGCTGGCTCCCTCCTCTTAAGACTTTCCTTTTGGGGGTTAACTATCTCCTCTTACTTCTCCACCTCATTTTGCACATATGGAAACTAAGGCCCAGAGAAGTTAAGTTACTCACACAAAGTCACCCAGCTAGAAAGTAACAGAGCCAGTATTTGAACATAGGCCCTCTGACTCCAAATGCTACATACCACTATCCCAGAATACCTCTTCACCATATTTTAAATTATTACTTCAACATATTTAATACTTATTTTCATAATGATATAATGTGGCTCCTTTAGATACAATCCAAAAACAATTATTTCGATATTGCCTTCTACTTCAAAGTTACTCCATTCTGGAGCTCCCCGACCAGCTCATAGATCACGGATTCCTGTTTTGTCTCTTAAAAGCACCATATAACATATTAACATGTTGCCCTCTTTCTATACAGTATTTGCTGCATGCAGAGATACAGAAAGATAGATTATTCAAACTAATTAATTCAAAAAAATTTATTAAATAACTACTACACACAAGGCATTAGTTAGTCAATAAGCATTCATTAAGCCAGGCACTGTGCTAAGCACTGGGGTTACAAAGACAGGTAAAACAGGAAGAGCCTTCAAGCATCACACATTCTAATGGAGGAGAAAACAAGCCAACAATGGTGTATAAATGAAATATATACAGGATAAATTGGAAGTAATCTCAGAGGAAAGTAATAGAGGGGAACTGGAAAAGGCCTTTTTCAGAAGGTGGGGTTTAAGCTGAGTTTTGAAGAATGCCATAGAAACCAGGAGGCAGTAATGAAGGAGAGTACCACAGGAATGAGGGAGAGCCAACGAAAAGGTAATAAACAGTCAGGAGACGGAGATGACAAAATCATAAGACAAGCAGGAAAGGGGGAATTGTCAGGAGACTGTTGTGAATGAAGAACAAGCAAGGAAGCCAGTGTCACTGGATGGCTGAGCACATGAAGGGGAATAAAATAGGAAGGTAGGAAGAGGCCATGTTGTGCAAGGGCTTTAAAAGCCAAGAAGATAATTTTCTATTTGATCCAGGAGGTAATAGGGAATCACTGATATTTACTAGGTCAGGGAGTGACACAGTCAGATACTTGCGCTTTTAAGATCAGCTTTGGTAGCTGAGGAGAAGATTGATTGGAGTGGGGAGAGTCTTGAGGCAGGGCGACCAACCATTGCCTATAAAATTAATAAGCTATTAGTATAATAGGAGGTGATTAGCAGAGCACTCCTGACTTACTGGAACCAAGCACCTCCCATGAAACTGGGTATGGAAGTTCTAACTCTATGGACAGAAACATGGTACTTTGGCTCAACACCTAAGGATTTGTGCTGGAAATGATACAGCCACGCCTCATCAGTCCTCATGGTCCGACACAGAAAAGATTTTCCTTGGAAAATCTCTTCTGTAACGATGAGGTAGAGAACACCAGAAAAAAGCCTGCTCTCCTCCTTTGGGGTCAGGATCCCCCTGGACTGAACCTAACTTGTGCGAGCCCATGGCAGTAGCCTCCGAGTAAAGTGGCATCTTGGGAAAATCTGTTAGAGTGCCAAACCACACACTCAAAAAAGGGGAAGAGAGAAAGAGGCAAAGACACTGGCATTTCTTTTTAAGATTTCTGAGTGGGTGGCTCTTCCTGTTTCAGTCACCAATCTTCTTTGGCACAACCCCAATAATGGGAACTATGGGGACCAATAAAGGATTGCTGCATCATCCCAAAGCACAAATCCTTTAGCATGTGTCCCTCTCCATGGAGCCAGGGTATGCATATGTAGCTCCGTCAGAGGCACCCAGTTCAAGAGATCTGGCTCCCCAGATCAACCCCTTATTAGCTAGTCAGTCAGCTAAATAAAAATAAATAGCTAACATTTATATAGCATTTGCTATGTTCCAGGCACTGTGCTAAGAACTTTATAATTATTATCTCATTTGATCCTCGAAACAATCCAGGAGGTAGGTGCTATTATTATCCCCATTTTACAGATGAGGAAACTGAGACAAGAGGAGATTAAGTGACTTGCCTAGGGTCACACAACTAGTAAGTGGCTAAGACAGGACTTAAACTCATGTCTTCCTGGATCCTGGAACTCTAACCACTGCACCACCTAACCACCTCTGCCTAGCTAGCCTTTATCAAGTGCCTACTATATGCCAAGCATTGCTAAACACTAGGGATAGAAAGAAAGGCAAAAAACAGTCCCTGCTCTCAAGGAGCTCACAGTCTAACGGAAGAGGCAACATGCAAACAACTATGTACAAACAAGATATACATAGGATAAATTGGAAGTAATCTCAGAAGAAAGACACTAAGATTAAGGAAGACTACAAAATACTTCTTGTAGAGACAAGAAGAAAGCGAGGAAGTAGAGATGAGGAGAGCATCTTAGGCATGGGGTACAGCCAGTAAAAATGCTCTCAGAGTCAGGAGATGGAAGTATGAATTAACATTAAAAGCAATGCCTGTTTGGAGAGGTGCAGTGCCCTAAGTCAGGAGCTTTAACAGAAGGCATAAATCTGGTTTGGATGCATCAAAACAACTTACTGAAAGACAGCTTATGTTGTCACATAAATTGAAAGAAGTTCAACATGACTCATTTTTTTGTGCATTCTGGGGATGAGGATCGTAGGATTACATTTTACAAGGTACAAAAATGTCAGTCATGGTTTCAATGCACATGTGACCTTCCAGAAGAATTCTCTATCACTTCATTTTCTCTAAAAGAAGAAAGAATGACACTGGAAATGTAATGGGTAAGTTCACTTTTAATTTTAGGACCATCTATTACTTCCATTTCTTAAATCAAAATGCAAACTGTCCTCTATTTCACAGGGATCAACTCCTGCTGCCTCAAAAATGAAATTATTCTGATCTTTCTAGAAGGGTATATCTTTTAACATAAACTTGAGCTTAATCATCTTGGCCAGCTAAACTGCTCTAGGTGGTAGAAATACAACAGACAATTGAATTCAATTCTTCCATAAGCCAACCAACTAAACAAAATTCCATACTTTCTTATTCTGAAGTCAGTCACTCAACTAGTAATATAGTTTATAAGCATTCTCTGCCTCAACACTTATTAACTAGAGGTTACATTGCACAAAATCTAGATAGCTTTCTTTCCCCATCTACTGGTTCTCTTTGATACATGAGATTCTCATGCCCAAATCTAGGAACCAGCTTTACTCACAATGAAACCAATAACAATTTTCTACTAGCTGGCATCAAGGGGTCATGCTACTATGTTCTGAGGAACAATGCCCAATGCAAAAAGAAATTACTCTTGATCATCATTCCATACTTTTTCATTTTATTTTGTTGCTTTACAGAAAAACCTCAAATACTGGCTGCTGATGACTCTGATTCAGTCTCTGGGTTGAAACATCTGACAGACTGCAAATCACAGCTTCTTGGATACTGATGAGAGTCCACAAAAACAAATCTCTTCTTAGAGAGGCAGGAAAACCAAGTCTATATTTCTCTGCTTCCAAAAATATATTTTCCCCTTCTACATTTGATTGGTTTTCTACTAAGCTAACATAGATCTAGATACAGTGTTATTCAAAGGAGACATTTGTTCTGGTCCTACATGTTTGAAAATCTTGTTCCCAATAATCACTTAGAGCGTACCCTTCCAACTAATTCTTCATTAGTGAGATAGTATACTACAGAAATAAGCCAAAAAGTCAATGGTTTCTTAAAGCATAGCAAACAAACATTGATTCTGCAAAACCCTCCTGATTTAACTTGGCAACAGAAAGTTACCCTGTTTTAAAAGATAAGAAGGATGAAGTAAAGATAGAACTGTTCACGAGGTTTTAGAAAGGTGCCTTCCAATGAAGTATCTAAGCACAGTGTGTACTAGCTGATGAAGTCCCCGCCTAAACCGAATTTCTCATATCCTGTCTGGTATTATACGCTATGCATAGTGGAAATGGTGAAAAAGGAAAAAAAATAAAACAACAAAGAAACTTCTTTCTTGAAAAGTCTAATTTCTAAATAACTGACTGAGAAAAGACATAGAGGCACCTCTTTCTTTTGCTCTTAATAAAATTATTTTCCTCCCCTTCCTCACACGTCCCCAGAATGGGGTGTGGAGGATCTGTGGGTGGGAGGGCTGGGAGGTAAGAAGATGAGGGGCAAAGAGGGAGAGGACAGAAAGGGCAGACCTTGCATTTTCAAACCTTCAGGAATTTTCCATGTAGAAAACCAAAGCTAAGGCCAGTGGTTAAAACTACGCCCTTCCCACTCTCTCCCCCAACTCCCCAAAGTGAATGTTCCTGTTGAAAAACAGGGAGGGAATTGGAGAAGGAAACCAAGCCCTGGAAGAGGAGGAGCGGAAGCTGCAAAGACCAGCAGCTGAGCACACGCCGTACACACACCACGCTACTTCCCTCCCTTCTCCCGAAGTGCCACAAAACAAGTTTACCTGGGTGTAAAATCGCCAGCACTGCTGCAAAAGTTCTAGTTCACTTCCCCTGAGGGTTCATAGGCTCAGCACTCTGGTCCTCTCCAGGCTTGCAGAACATTAATCCTTCTGCTTCTCCTTCCAGGGCTCTCCCACCCGCTCTCCCTCTCGCACCATGTCAGGAATCCGGGAAGGCAGTGAGCTGGGAGCTGACATCACTCCCCGTTCCAGGTACCTCCCTCCTCCCACTGCCTCCTTCTCTCCTCCCCGCCTGTGGGGACTAGCCAAAGAGAGTCAGGGAGCGGGGTGGAGCTGGCCCCTCCTAAACCCCAGCTGATTGGGCCCATGAAAAGTCACTCAGAGAGTCAACTCATTTTGTACATTCCAGGCTGAACGAGAGATCTGCTGGAAGTTGTGGGTGTTGATAGAAAAAAAAAGTTGGTTTTCCTGCCATCTATAAGGGAGGGAAAGACCCCTGTCTGAAAGTTTTGAACTTCATTTGGTGGTGTTTCCTAGCACCCAGAGCTGGAATAAAATTAAACCACCACAGTCCCACTTTCAAGCAACAATTGCTTCTGTGCAATGGGAAAGTGTCCTGATCTTTAGGGATGTAGAGAAGGGTTAGCTTTAACTGTCATGCAAACAAAGACAATTGCAGATCAGTTGTCCACCTAATATCCTCAGACATCTGGATTTTCCCCAGAGAAGTAAAAACACCTCATCACAATCTTGAGTGGGTTCCTTGGAACAAAGCTGTGGTCCAGTGATGTCTGACTAAGTAAGCATGTGGCTCCCTTTGCCTTTAAGCAGTGAAAACAAAAACAAACACAAACAAAAAAAATCACATCTCCCAGGCACATACTAAAGGAACCTGACGGAGAATAATGGCAGTGTTTTACCTCTTTAAGGACTATTATTAAGATTGTCATTTTAATGCATTACTGAGGGAGCATCTAACAACTCCAATGAACAACTTATATGAAGGTAATTGAATTTCTGGAGAACCAATTGAGGTTGCTAGACTATCACTTAAGGAGAAACCAATTTGTGCTTGACAGTTCTCATACTGTATAATAACTCCCCTGGTGAGCAGAGGTGAGCAGAATAGGGTTAATCCCAAGAGGAATGTCTTTCAATTTATCCAAAGTCTGGTTAGCTGGCTTTTAAATACACAATCACCACTTATAGACAAAGGGGAAAAAATTCTCACTTCTGAAAGAAAAAAAGTTTTTATTTTATAAGTAATTTTGTTTACTATAGTGCAGTGGAAGTCGGACTAGGGAACTTTCCATTGAGCTGGCCCTTTCCAGTGGAACAAGTGACAGTGGGGTCAAAAGTATTTGAAGAGGGGTGGAGCCAAGATGGCTGAGAGAAGCCAGGAAGTTGCCTGAGCTCTCCCCAGTTTCCCTCAGAAACAATGTTAAATCAAGTCTCTAAAAGAATTCTGAAGGAACAAAATCCACAAAAAGATGGAGTGAAAGAGTTTTCCAGTCCAAGAAAACTTAGAAGGATTTCAGGAAAGGTCTCTCCCTTGGGTAAAAGATGGGGTGCTGCCCAGCACAGGTGGTGTCCAGCTGGAGCCTTAGCCACAGCACAGATTAGTAACCAAGTCCCCGTGGCTCTGGCTAAGCAGGCCAGTAGCACAGCAGGCCAGCGATGAGGTCTCCAGGCCCAGCACATAAGACAAACTGCCAGCCCTGAAACCTAGGGCACAGTAGGTATGACTAGGCCAGGCCACCCTAGTGCAGTGGGCAAGCCAGAAGTCCCAAAAGCGGCCCTGAAGCTAATAGTGACCAGGCCCCTGGCCCCTAGTGCAAGAAGCTTGTAATAATGTCCCCTGTACCCCAGGGGCAGAGCGTAACTTTTTTAAGCAAAAACAAAAAAGCAAAAAACAAAAAAGAGCCCTGACAATAGAAAGCTATTGTGGTGACAGGGAAGATCAAAACACAACCTCTAAAGAGGGCAACAATGTCAAAATGCCTACATGCAAAGGGAAATATGAATTGATCTCAAGCCCAAAAAGTCCTCTTGGAAGAGCTCAAAAAGGATTTTAAAAATTAAGGAAAAGAGGTAGAAGAAAAATTGGAAAAAGAAATGAGAGTTATACAAGAGAATTATGAAAAAAGAGTCAATAGCTTGAAAAAGGAAGCAGAAAAATTGACTGAAGAAAACAACTCCTTTAAAAGTAAAATTGGCTAAATGGAAAAGGGGGTACAAAAGCTAACTGAAGAAAATAATTCCTTAAAAATTAGAATTGGGCAAGTGGAAGCTAAAGATTCACGAACCAGTCAAACATAATCAAAAGAATGAAAAACTAGAAAAAAAATGTAAAATATCTCATTGGAAAAACAACTGACCTGGAAAAAAGATCCAGGAGGGGTAATTTAAGAATTATTGGACTATCTGAAAGCCATGATCAAAAAAAGAGCCTGGATAGCATCTTTCAAGAAATTATCAAGGAAAACTGCCTGATATCCTAGAACTAGAGGGTAAAAATAATCATTGAAAAAATACACCGATCACCTCCTGAAAGAAATTCTAAAATGAAAACTCCAAGGAATATTGCAGCCAAATTCCAAAATTATCAGGTCAAGGAGAAAATACTACAAGCAACCAGAAAGAAACAATTCAAATATCAAGGAGTCACAGTGAGAATTACACAGGACTTAGCAGCTTCTACATTAAAGGACTGGAGGGCTTGGAATATGATATTCTAGAAGGCAAAAGAGCTTGGATTACAACCAAGAATCAACTACCCAACAAAATTGAGCATAATGTTTCAGGGGAAAAGATGGACATTCAATGAAATGGGGACTTTCAAACTTTCCTAATGAAAAGACTAGAGCTGAGCAGAAAATTTTATCTTCAAATACAAGACTCAAGAGAAGCATAAAAAGCTAAACAGTAAGGAAAAAAACAAACATGGTATTGAATAAAGTTAAACTATTTACAACCCTACATAGGAAGATGATACTTGAAACTCTTAAGAACTTGTCTCTATTAGGGCAGTCAGAAGGAGTATACTTAGAGGGTGTGGGTATAAGTTGACTTTGATGTGATGATAAAAAAATGATTAAGGGGTGAAAAAAAGGATTGTACTGGGAGAAGAGGAAAGAAGGAAGCAGAATGGGGTAAATTATATCATATGAAGAGGCATGAAAAACCTATTACATTGGAGAGGAAGAAGGGAAGGGGTGAGCATTGTTTGAACTTTACTCTCAACAGAATTGACTCAAAGAGGGAATAACCTACACACTCAGTTGGGTATAGAAATTTATCTTACCCTATAGGGAAGTAGGAGGAGAAAGGGGAAAGAAAAGGGAGTGGTGGCTGATAGAAGGGAGGACAGAAGGAAGAGGGGAAAGAGGAAAGAAAAGGGAAGGGGCCTGTAGAAGTGAGGGCATATTGGGGGAGGCAGTGATCAGAAGCAAAACACTGGTGAGGAGGGACAGAGTGAAAGGAGAAAGAAAAGTATAAAAGGGGATAAATAGGATGGAGGGAAATACACAGTTAGTAATCATAACTGTGAATGTCAATGGGATGAACTCTCCCATAAAATAGAAGTGGATAGTAGAGTGGATTCAAAACCATAATCCTACAATGTGTTGTTTACAAGAAACACATCTGAAGCAGAGAGACACCCCCGAGTAAAGGTAAAAGGCTGGAGTAGAATATATTATGCTTTAGCTGAAGTGAAAAAAAGAAAAAGCAGGGGTAGCAATCTTGATGTCAGACAAAGCAAAAGCAAAAATAAATCTAATTAAAGGAGACAAGGAAGGAAACTACATCTTGCTCAAAGGAACCATAGATGATGAAGTAATATAAATACTAAACATATATGCACCAAGTAGTATAGCATCCCAATTCTTAGAAGAGAAGTTAAATGAGCTACAGGAAGAAATAGACAGCAAAACTATACTAGTGGGGAACCTCAACTTTCCTATCTCAAAACTAGATAAATCTGACCACAAAATAAATAAGAAAGAAGTTAAGGAGGTGAATAGAATTTTACAAAAGTTAGATATGATAACCCAGCAATAACACTTCTAGGTCTGTATCCCAAAGAGATAATAAAAATGGGAAAAGGACCCACATGTACAGAAATATTTGGAGCAGCTCTTTTTGTGGTGACAAAGAATTGGAAATTGAGGGGATGCCCATCAATTGAGGAATGGCTGAACAAGTTGTGGTATGTGAATATAATGGAATACTACTATGCTGTAAGAAATGATGAGCAGGTGGACTTCAGAAAAACCTGGAAAGACTTGTATTGACTGATGCTGAGTGAAGTGAGCCGAACTAAGAAAACACTGTACATAGTAACAGCCATGTTGTGCGATGCCTAACTTTGATTGACTTAGCCCTTCTCAGCATTGTAAGGACCTAAGACATCTCCAAACATCTCATGATGGAAAATGCTATCCAGATCCAAAGAAAGAACTGCAGAGTTTGAGTGCAGATCGAAGCATATTATTTGCTCTTTTTTTCTTCTGTTTTGTTTTGTTTCTTCTTTCTTGTGGTTCCTCCTATTGGTTCTAATTCTTCCTTTCAGCATCACTAATGTGAAAATATGTTTAATAGGAATGTATATGTATAGCCTATATCAGATTGTGTGCCATCTTGGGGAGGGAGGTAGGAAAGGAGGGGGAGAAAAATTTAAAACTCAAAAGCTTATGGAGGTGATTGTTGATAACTCAAAATAAATTAATAAAAAAATTTTTTTTAAAGTTAGATATGATAGACCTCTGGAGAAAATTAAATGGGGATAGAAAGGAATATACCTTTTTCTCTGTGGTCATGGCACCTACACAAAAGATTATGTATTAGGGCATAAAAACCTCATAATCAAATGCAGAAAGACAAATATTAAGTGCATCCATTTCAGATCATGAGCCAATAAAAATTACATGTAATAAAGGGCCATGGAAAGATAGATCAACTTAATTGGAAATTAAATCATCTAATCCTAAAAAATGAGTGAGTGAAACAATATATCATAGAAACAATCAATAATTTCATCAAAGAGAATGGCAATAATCAGACAACATACTAAAGTTTATGTAATGCAGCCAAAGAAGCACTTAGGGGAAATTTTATATCTCTAAATGATTACATGAATAAAATATTGAAAGAACATATGAGTGAATTTGGATATGCAATTTTAAAAGCTAGAAAAAGAACAAATTAAAAATTCCCAAATAAATACCAAATTAGATATTCTGAAAATCAAAGGAGAG